TTTGTCAGTTTTGTTTATTTTGGGTTTTCCATCCAATTTAGTCTCTCCACTGTCTTTTTTTCCCACTTTCTCCACATCATGGAGATGTGGCACAAGCCTGAGAGCCCACAGGCTTCATGCACTTCCTCCTAAGCATCTAAGCCTGCCACTGCATCTTTTGAGCTACTGGCAGTGTTGCCAGGTCCCTAGGCATTTTTGGACGAAAGCTGTGGTCCCTCATGTGATCCACAGGGCTGAAACCTGCTGCAGCTGCACAAGGAATAAACCCACTGGTAGCATTAGATTCAGATCTAATCACAAATGCATATACTGGCAAATAAGTCTGGGGTTTTGGATACTTAGTGCTTTACGTAGTCGTTGAAAGTCGTTTCTTAGGTTGAGTCTGAATGTCTGCTTTATTAGAAACCCCTCACTTCTAGCTCCAACTTGCTGGTGTAGTTAGAGACTGTAGCTCATCTGTTGATGCACAGTTTGTGTCAGCAATCAAGTCTTTCACCAGTGGTCAGTGTCTGACCACAGGGACACTCTTGACTGGATATTTTTAGGTGGTGGACCACTGTCAACCTAGCTGTGACACTGACATTTGTAAAGCCCCACACATGCTGTGCTGAGAATGATTCACCGCCCAGTTAAAATCTGATCAACAGAGGCTCTGTAGTCAGAAACTGACCAATGAGGTATGCAGTAGAAGGGGCTGATAAGTTGTGCAGCAACAGCTACAGTCTGTAATTCAACATTTATATATGTAATCTATAATGAAGTGGAACTACCAGTAGTCAGTGAGTGGGAGTATAAGGGAGGGGTTTCTAATAAAGGGGACACTGAGTGTACAAAATCATCAGTTTCTTGGTTCTCCCATTTAGTTCATAACAAAAACTTAGACTCCCCAAGAGAGAAGCGAAATGATCCTTCACATCTCCTGGTGAAAAGGTTTAATTTGTATCTTGTAGATTTCTATTGTTCACCTCCCACCGCAGTGATTTGTGATCCTACTAAAGAAAGTCGTTTCACATCACACAAGCGAAACACCTTTTCATCAGAAAACACACAGTAATGATACCTGTTTAAATGGGATTGTGTAGTTTCAGTAGGGTTTGTGCTTAACTGCACTGAGGGTCTGAAACTAAAGTTTTTGGCACGCCTTAAATGTTTTTATTAGTTTCTATATAAAAGTGAATAGCGTCAGATTTTTAAAATGCATAGTGAATTCATAAAGAAGTGTCATTCAGAGTGGTTTGATGTGAAATGCTGCGTTCTAGACACGAGTCGACATCTGAAACGTTTAACGCTCCCAAAGCTCCTTCACAGCAAGCTATTGTACAAAAAAATGGTTTCAAATACGCTGCCTAATAAGACATTGTTTTAAAATCATTTTAAGATCAGGTTTTGGCCTAAAATGTATGGTTAAAATACATTCTTCACAAAATTGCCAATGCAGGCCATAGTGAGGCAAAATAGTCTCAAAAGAACTTTTTTAATGCACCACTATTTCACCTTATACATGCAATGTGAACAAATGTACAGGAATATCTATAATGCTTCTGTTTTTAATATTTTCATATGAGCACAGTGTAGTGTGTCTGATCAAAATACATCCTACAAGGAATGAATATGCAGCCAATGGAAAAGTGCCTCAGTTACAGGTGTTTTTGTTTGTTTGAATAACAGAAAGAGAATGCTTAAGCCAGAAGACTTAATAAGACTCGTGATTGTTGGAACGATTTCTCTAAAAGTTGGACCCAAACTTTAAATCAGTCAGGTCAGGGTCAGGGTCAGCGATGGCTCTCTGTGCATTTTCACAGTCTCTTATTGGGCACGGATTACATATTCAGAGTGGGTTTGTTGTGCAGGTCGTCAGTGAAACTCCTACATGGACTAAGTTTTTGACAAAGAAAGAAAGAACTGCTCTTAAAAAAAACTGGAATGGCTTCACAGTATTTGGTCATGGCCAAAATGTGGAGGAGCCTACAATGAATTTACAGATTAATCACTGAAGGAGGCTACAGCGTGGGTTTTTATTCAAAACGCAAAGACCAAAGCAAAGGCCAGCGTTAATGTAGCTGCGGAAGCCTTTTAGCTCGGGTTTTTAGATAAGGCAGCTATTAAAAATTTCCTTTCTGATGTTAATGCTGATTTGACATGCACTTTCATTGCACATATGATTGTTTTCATCTCCAGCAGACACAATTATTATGGACATCTAGAGCAGCTGTTTGCAGTGCATTCTGATTGCCAGACCAGACATGACAACAGGCATCCACACCGACTGAATGATTATGAAAATGCAATTATGACACGACAACAGTCTGATTAAGTGGGTTACAGCTGTACAAGCAGGATTTCCAAATGTGTTTTATTCACCTCGTGCACATATGTGTACTGGATAATTCCAGTCTCCCATTAACCCTACAGTTTATTGATTAAGCTGTAAAATGAACAGATTGATTGCTCTGGGTGGCCCATCCTCACTGCACTGCTTCTGAATTGAAATTCAAATCTAATGCAGTCTTTTTATTTAACACACTTTTTGCTCTGGATATATCCTGCCTGATGTGTCCAAAAGTCTGCTGAAATCAACGGTATTAATAGTGTGTTTCTGGGAAAGCTTTACAGTAGATGCTGGACCACTGCTGTGAGGATTCGATTGCATTCAGCCACAAGAGCACTAGTAAGTTCAGATACCGATGATGGAGGAATCGGTCCTGGATCACTCCAACGCATCTCAAAGAAAAATTCCATCTCTGGAGTGACGAATCAAGCCGTGTGGAATGCAGTGGAATGCCGGGGTCAGTAATGGGTGCACCATCATTAGAAGAAATGTCTGGACACTTTTGGTCACTGTCTTTAATTTATTCATCTGTGCTGATGCTTATGCCAGGAATCTTCAGACAGACAAACCCTGACCGTAATAAATGCAAGAAAAAGCCACATGCTGTGACAGTGCTGTAGCATCACCGTGGTGACAGGAGGCTATTTTTAAATGTGAATGGATCATTGTGTTGGTAGTTAGACTGAGAGAATGCTCCAGCTATGGACTCTATACAAGTCTCGTCCACTCTGAGGAACCCCTACTCTGAGGTCCAACTACTTTACAGGTCTACTGTATAGGTGCACAGTCACAGCCCATTTGTTGATGCATAACTGATGTAGCCAGGCTCCGCCCACAAATGTGTTCTTTCGCAGCTACTGTGGCGAGGTCACACTGTTAGATTGAGGCTAAGGCTGAGCAGAAAATGCTTTTGTGTCTTTAGTTATATTTCTCGGACAGGTCAAAGAGTAGCTCGACTTTACTGATGTAGCTTGTGGCTACATAATGTCGCATAATGTTTATTTCTGCAGTGAGTATGAAAATGCTTAGAGAAACCGTAGCCATGCTACAGTAGCGGCAGTAGAGGTGCAGTAAAAGTGGTCGTACACTACACTCGATCTAACAGTATGAGGGGAAAATACTTGAGTAATTCTACTTTGTTACTATACTTAAGGATTATTTTACTCAAGTACTTTTGAAACTGTAGTCCATCTGTTTCTCTGTATACTTTATTAGCCTGCTTTCACCCTGCTCTTCAAAGGTCAGGACCCCCACAGGACCACCACAGTGTTGGTGGTGTGTTAGTGTGTGCTGCGCTTGTACGAGTGGAACAGACACAGCGGTGCTGCTGGAGTTTTTAAACAGCTCCGTGTCACTGCTGGACTGAGAATAGTCCATTAACCAAAAATATCCAGCCAACAGCGTCCCGTGGGCAGCGTCCTGTGACCACTGATGAAGGACTAAAGTCGTCAAAGTCAAGAGACCTTGTCACCTCAAACACAACACAAACTGTACATCAACCGATTCTTCACTGACTTTACATCTACAAGGCAGCTAGTCATTTTTCACCTAAATTTATATATATATATATATATATATATATATATATATATATATATAATGTATTCTTTTTTTTATACAAAAACAGCTTCTCGTTAGTTTGAATGGTATTATTACCAGTGTTCTGTAAAGCTTGTCCAACCTCGCAAGAGTAGCTCTAAAAGAACACATTTGAATAGACATGGCAATTTGTCAGCATTCATCATTGGTCCTTTTCTGACCTCAAGACTGCTGTTAACCAGATATTGTTCGGGTTGTGGACAATATCTCAGCACATTAGTGGACAGGGACAGTGAGGGTAAATTACAGAGCACCTTTTTGAGTCTGAGCTTGAACACATCCAGCAAAAACAGTATCAAAACGAAAAAATACAATGGGGGGAAAACATTGTTGGTGAATTTACATGTATTTAATGTTGAGTCATATAAATATTTCATACAAAATATCACATTATACAAAGCATAGATAGGTGATCATTGTGTCAGGGACATTAGTTCCCTCTTTATGATTGGAAACCAAGAATAAGCTAACAGAGTGTCTGCAACATCACACAGAAGCGAGCCAAAGTGGCCTCCAGCGTCTACATCACTCACAGTTCACTTTTCAAAGGAGGAGCGGGGTATTTTGGTGCGCAGTGCTATTTTATTTATTTTTTGTCCTTTCTTTTTTACACAAGTCTCATGCGAGTCTTTTAAAGATGGTCTCAAGTAGGTTCCTCAAAGTGTGTTGACAACTCTGGCTCTGGGATGGCACTGTACGTCTTTGTTGCTCCTTCTTGAGCCTTCGCTTTATAGTAATTCTAAGGGATGACATATACTAGCCATGTTCCTTTTTATGAATGCTGGAATTTTTAATGTAAAAAAAAAAAAGATTTTTTACATTTTATTCAGAATTGTCAGTGCATTCGTTGCAAAATAGTCATATGCAAAAAATAAAAATAAAAAAAAAGTCAAATGACATTTTGTTGCTTTTCTAAGAGAAATTAACACATCCTTTACATAATTATGAGTTTTTTGCAAATTTCAGTGCACAAATACAAAATGTACCATAACTGTTACATAGGCTACATTTTGTGTATATTTTTTTCCAATATCTTCAATGCAGCAAATAAACAGTTACTGTGCATTAAAAATTGCAGAAGTGTGTTTAGACTGGGGTGCCCAAACTTTTGGATACAACTGTATGTTTACTGTAATACAGCTTTATATCAGTTTTGGAATATAGATAAGGGAAATGTAGGTGAGAAATAATGCAGATACCTAAGTTTAGGTTTAACAGACAGTGGGCGAAAGGCCCTTTGGTTTGAGGAACACAACTGCAAGAATTAAAAATTTGTGAACTGTAAAAGTGCGATGAAAAGTGGCAAAACACATTTTGGTCTACAGTGGTGATTAGAAAAATTAGCATTTGTCAGAGATGACAATGTAGGTATTAATAATACTTCATCCATAAAAGCTGAAATTGAACTGGCTTACATCAGAATTAATATGGCCTACTGGTCAGCAGGGCTTTAAACCAGTTTCAGGAACAAAAATGAAACCGAAAACATAATCTTTCTTAACTGTTCCAGAACAGAAACAACTTGAAATCTGTCCTGGTTAATAACATTGTCTTTTTGTTGCATATAATCCGCAATTTAACAAGAATTTGAACTAGTTTGTTATGTATATAATTATCTTAATACTGAAATTTTGTCGTAAATGCATTCTGTGCTTTTCTGTTTATGATCTCATGGTTTGAGAAATCATTTAGGCAGCTATCATGTCTATTTGTTTTAAAAGGAGGGAAACTGCTAATTCTTTGGACTTGCAATGCTGCATTTTGACTTACTCTGATTATCACAACTTCTGGAAAATAACTGTGGGGTAACTGAGAGCTAAATTTCGGAGTAACATCATAACTGTGAGCCTGAGTGAACATGTTTATTAATACAAATCCATCTAGCAAAACTTCTATAATATTAGGCCGACATACAGAACAGAATTAAGCAGTTTTCAGTTTTGTTTTAACTGCACAAAACATTAAAATACCGGTACTGCCCAGAGTGAACCGAGCCCCCCTAATGAGTTACTTAACCTTAAAAGTCACCAAGATGACAACCTGGGGCCTGGGCTTTTCTTTCAAATGTCTTTTTGTGGTGCAAATCTCAGATTGCATGGCTTTTTTCTTTTTTTGGAGCTAAAATGCTGCGTTTACATACCTATTAAAGATTTGCTGGACCTGTTGGATCTTGGCCTTGCCGCCTTAACTGAGACTTGCTTTTTTACACTTGGAAACACCAATGAGGCTTCTGGAATGAAAGAAAGCACCTTATTACACTTATCCCACAATCCAGCACCTTGTCATGAGTGCTAGCTACAAAATGCCAGACCATTATACTACAACAACAGTTTACACCAGTCCATTGTCTAACTAATGCAAATAAAACAGGAACCAATCATCTTTTTAACATGAATCATACTCAACTGTCTCAACCAACAACATGGTTTCTTCCACCAAAGGAGTGTGACAATGCGTTTGTACAGCGGTACTGCGGAAGAGTTACGGCTACACAGCTAAAAACCCAGAAGCACTGACTTGTGTACACAGACATAGTTTGTGAATTTTCAAATATGCATAATGTATGATGTTATGGTATTTGTAAAGCCCACTACTTTTTTTTCTTCCCTCTGCTTTGCAGAAGAAACTAATACACAAAGTCAGCAAAGCTTCAAATGGTCAGCAGGTGGTAGAGTCAACAGATACTTTTCTAGTTACGTTGAGGTCGAGTCACCAAAACCAGAATGTTCTCCAAACGTTCAAAGTAGGTCACGTTTGATAAGACATCAAAAGTTCAGTCCTGTAAAAGGGCACTTTGGGAGAAAGAAAGCATTATCACTGCTTGCCTTGGTATCTACTTTGTTAAATACCGCACAAGGGGTAGAGGTCACTTTATCCGTTTGGCTCTCTTGGTTATGGATGTCCACCACTGATGAACAGCTTGTGCGAATCCATTGAGTCCATTATAACTCAGTATTGGTTTCCCTGCTTTAAGCTGTTTGGTAGGGCTGCACAATATATTGTTTCTTTACCATTATCACGATACTGGCCTTTGCAATATCGCTGCAATTTTTAAATGAGTCCCCTAACCAATCGCAATGCTTGTTATTGTAGCTGGGAGCATCCTGACCAATCACAGTTCCAGATCAGTTTCTGTAGGTGTTTTGAAAGTATTCATGTATTTCAACAAAAGTAAATGATTTTGGTCAAAATAATGTCACATTATTGATTCACTGATACATTTTTAATTTATTGCATGGCGTATCGCAATCGCAATATAATCGAAATGCTACTATTCTGTTCATATCGTGCAGCCCTATTGCATGGCTATGAATCTTCACTCTCCTCCCCTCCATACATGTCTGCAAGTTTTTTAAACCTGGGCCCCCATTCGCTCAGGTAGTTATAGTCCTGTAGGCCTTCGCTGCTGGCCGACTCCAGCGAGCTCAGGCTTTCGGCCACTGAGCCGCTGCCCTCGTAAGCGTAAGTGGCCAGAGAGTCGTAAGGGGGCGCTGTTGGGTCCAAGTCGTTCTCCTGAAGCCTCTGGGCGATGAAGTCCTGGACATCCGTGTTGTCCCGGGCCGCTGTGGCTGCCAGCCTCCGTGTGGATGGGTACAGGCTGTCTGGGATGATATCCCGCCTGTGTTTGGTATCTTCGATCACTTCAGGATTACGCAGGGTTCCGATGTCAAAGGCTTGGGTGTCCTCCTCTCCTCCGCCTTCGTCATTATAGCTCACCACGTTATCCCTCACATCTTCTTTGGAAATGATCAGCGGCTCCATCTTCTCTCTCTGGCTTCTCAGAGCCGTAAACAGCACCACAATCACTGTGAAGATGAAAATTACTCAATGAAAATTTCATAACACAAACAAAATTGATGAATATTGAATCAATAGCACAGTAAAAAATCTAATTTACACAATTTTCTAAATGTAGTTGTTCAGCTAAGACATGTCTTGTGTCTTAAGTTTGCTTCTTTAGTTTTGCACTGCAGCTACAAGGCTAATGTAGCTAACGAATAATGGAAACATACATCCCACCTATTATCATAGTGCAAAACTGCATCAGACTGTGTCAAGTTGTTCATCTCAAACATGCTTATGTGGTTGTGTTCATTGTGGGAGGCCATGAGTTACAGTGACTGGTGTTAGTTTGGATCAATTGATGTGTGCATCCCTATGTGTGTATATCAAATATTTAATAGTGTGGCCCAGCCAATCAGATTTTAGGCCCAGATGTTTTATGAATTCGATTTTTTGCTTTCATACTTCACTATGCTACTGTAAGACTGTGAGGACATAATAGTTTATTATAAAATGGATAGTTCTGGTCCTAAAATCTGATTGGCTGAGCCTTGTTCAAAGCTATGTAAAATACTTGACTGTTATGACGCTCACTTTGACCACCACGTGTACTGAGAGATGATTTTGTTTAAACTGAGAGGCTGATTTTCTTAACAACTAGGCTAAAAGAAAGCAGACCAAAAAGGCCAAACCACTAAGCTTTGAGTGAAGAATTTAAGTATTTCCTGAATTATGACTGCAGCATGAAAAATGATTTTGGTTAAATCTGCCTTAAGAAGTATTAAACCCTGTGGCACCGCTAACACATGAAATCGCATACAAGCATTTGTATTATCGGCGTGCTGATAATTTGGTGCGCAAAAACTAGGCAAAGGTTTCTGCAAACACTGCTGTATTAGATTTTCTTTATTATATGACAAAAAATGGAAAAGCTCATGTAATGACTGCAATGGCTATACAGTGATGAATAAATTATTTATTCAAAATATGTGTATTTTATTATATGTTATGTTGTTGCCGTTTTATAAAAGCAACAGGGACTTTAAGCAGCGACGGCCGCAGCAATGGCTATGGTGGCAGGATGAAAAAGCTGTGCTGTGTATGCGCCAGTTTGAGTCACTGCTTCCTGTGGCCGTAGTCCGGTTCTGTTACAGCATAGACACTGGTTTGATGTACTTGCCAAAACATGAGGTTTAGGTGACTTCATTAGTTTTATATTATACTAGATAATGGCACTATTCATTTGAACAATTTGGTGAGAGACACTTATTTAATCCAGATTTCTGAAGAATTCTCCACTTGTAATGGCACCAGAGACTCAAAGCGATCACAGTAAATCCACAAACTCTTCCTCTAAAATTAGCTTATCTTCTAATGCATAAAGCAGTTCTTCTTTTGCTTTTTTAAATGACATTTTCTTAGCCAACAAAGACTGCCATGTTCCACAGTGACCTTAGAGTTGTTGCTTAGTGTTCCATGGAAACCAAAATTACTGATTTAGTTCCAGCCACTATACCTGTCCCTGCCCCCGCTGTGCTTAAAGTCCCTAACAAGCTACTTGAGACTGTGTTTTACAGTGATTTTACCATGGGTAAATGGGTGCCTAAGAACACCCCTTACCTGTGACATAACGTCAGTAACGCATGGCCTCTCCTGGCTTATTGCTTTAATATATAATAGTAAAAACAAAGTAATGCTGCGGACAATAACAATGGTAACAGTGTGACTTAAATGTTCTTACTCAGCAGTATAATGACACACAGCAGGATGGCCACGAGTGCTCCTGTGCTCAGCCCAGCAGCAAGTGTGAAGGCCTCAGAGTTACACTGCTTCATGTTCCCGTCGCGGTCACACGAACACACTCGCACTGTCAGTGTGTTGGTGCTGCTCTGCACGGGGAAATCTCCATCAGCGATCACCACAGGCACCAGGTACACGCTCTTCTGCAGCCGACTGTAACCGCTACGCACTGTCACGACACTGGCCGTGTTATCTGCACAAAACATTGCCAACAGTTCTAACACAGCATTCAAAAGACTGGGATCAGCCATCATATTAATCATTTTTTTTATTCTATTTACTATAAACCGAGCGTCTCAGGGCTGATCCATTCTGAGACTTCAGCAATGTTCCCTTTAACTTGTTGAAATCTGGTCCACTTTGGCCACAGTGAAACTGTGTAGAAGGATGTAGAATCTGAGCTTTTTGCATAGTATCAGGTTTTCTGTCATTGTATAAACGATGCACAAGGCTTTTTTTACTGACCGCACAAGCTTTTTCAGAGTGCAGTCCAGATCGAGAAGCGATTATTATTGATTTATTTATTCAGAGTAACAACAAAATGCAACTTATTATCCTGTTTATGTGTTTTCTTGTTTTAAAAAGTAGTTTCTGAATAAAAATCCACAAATGTACGGTTTTGTCAGATCATTCTTTACAAATCAAAGAAATACAACAACAGCACTGAGAAATCACGCTATTAACAGTGAAGAAAGGCAGAAATAGCCACCTTTTTGGGTTTAAATATTACAAACGAGACAACAAAATGTATTTTTTGACACCAAGTTTTCAGGGAATAACACTGTTATTAGGTGCTAAACATCATACAGTAATTATCTTTTTTTGTCCTTTTTTGGCAAGCTGTATTTCTTGAGATTTGATCATTACTTCTGGACATGAATTTTATTATTACTTCGTTCTCAATGTTATACAGCTTTCTCAGTCATTTCAGAATCATGTAGCTGTAGAGTACTAACATAATACAGGAAAAAATTGATACATTTATATGCAACAAAGCTGGTTTTATGTTACTGAAAACATTTACTCCAAACTTTTGAACAGTAGCTCATTTGGCATTTCAGTTGTGAAATATGGGACGGCCTTAAATGGCCGAGCCTCAGCTTTCAGGCCTTGATCCGCTGAGGGAATGCAACAGGATAATCTGTTTGGGAATCCTCTGCACAACGCATAAATAAAGGAAGATGTTTGACAGCAGCCAATTCAGAGAGACAAGCATGAAGCAGTTCGGCTGATTCTAATCTTTACTTCACCCCAAATGAGGTCAACATCTATTCTTAGCTGCAGAAGAGCTTCTAGTTTTGCTTTTTCTAGTAAAGTATTTTGGAATCTTTGAAAGGCTCTGCATGGGTTGTTACTGTTTGGTTAAGTCCATTGATATTGTTTGGTCTCTGATTACTCCATTAATCGACAAAATAATCAGTAGGTTAGATAACTATATAATCAACAGAGAGAGCTCTACTTCAGTTTAGCTCAGACTGTTCCTGTCAAATTAGGGTTCTGTTGTTAATTTAACACAAGATCAGAAGGCAGTGTGATGAAGAGCATTGTTCGCATGGCATTAGGCTAAGCCTCTCTGTTCTGCACCTGTGAGTTCTCAGTAATTTATTCCATTATGAAGAATTTTATAATAATGATGGTACTTTAAAGTCATAGAATTTTCATATTAAATATTAAAGACCACCTGAAGTTAATATGTTAATAAGAAGTTAATAATCTATGTTAATTACTAATTACTTCATTAAAAACATTTTCTCATTTAACTTGCACAATAAATGCCAAAATAAAACAGGAGATAAATAATGCCCAGGGAGGTCTGGAATGAACTTTCATTGCAGTTATAAAATCATGAATTATGGCAATCTTAAAGTTCCACTTTTCTGTAAGTCACCTTTGTTGTCTCTGACAGTGAAGTTGGCATTGACGGAAGCTTCTGGTGCCAAACTGAAGAAGAACCTGTGACCTCCAACCGGCTGGTCAGCATCTGAGGCACTGACTGTTTGGATCCTCTGAAAGAGAAAGAAGCTTTGTAGTAATGTGAAAACACACAGGTGGAAAATTACAAATTCTGAGGCTGTTAAGACACAGACTAAGCTCAAGTCTAGACTAAAAAAAAATTTCCAATGGGGAATAATCATTGTCAATGCCCTTTAGCTGAACTATGCATTCTTTTCTTCAATAGTGTGACTGAATACACCGATGGGCCAGGACATTATCCTGGTCCTCCACATGTTGCCAATACAGCTCCAAACTGCTGAGGCATGAACTCTACAAGAGCTCTGAAGATGTCCTGTGGTATCTGGCACCAAGACATTAGCAGCAGATCCTTTAAGTTCTGTAAGTTATGAGGTGAAGCCACCATGGATTGGACTTTTTGTTCCAGCACATCCCATAGGGCTTGATTGGACTGAGATCTGGGGAATTTCGAGGCCAGGACAACACCTTGAACTCTTCGATGTGTTCCTTAAACCATTCCCGAACAATGTGTACAGTGTTGGAGAGCCCAACTGGAGAACACCATTGCCATGAAGGGGTGTACCTGGCCCGCAACAACGGTTAGGTTGGTGGTACATGTCCACATGAATGCCCAGACCTAGAACATTTCCCAGAGCATCACACTCCCTCCACCGACTTGTCTCCTTCTCACAGTGCATCCTGGTGGCATCACTTCCCCAAGTAACCAGCACGCATGTACCCACCCTCTCCAACACTGTACACATTGTTCGGGAATGGTTTAAGGAACACATCGAAGAGTTCAAGGTGTTGTCCTGGCCTTGAAATTCCCCATATCTCAGTCCAATCAAGCCCTATGGGATGTGCTGGAACAAAAAGTGTGATGTGCTGGAACAAGTAGCCAGGTACACCCCTTCATGGCAATGGTGTTCTCCAGTGGTGCTCTCCAACACTGTACACATTGTTCAGGAATGGTTTAAGGAACACATCGAAGAGTTCAAGGTGTTGTCCTGGCCTCGAAATTCCCTATATCTCAGTCCAGTCAAGCCCTATGGGATGTGCTGGAACAAAAAGTGTGATGTGATTTAAAAGAAAACAGGACTCATCGGACCAAACGACCTTCTTACATTAGTCTTCCAAGATTAGTTCTGCAACTCGCATGGCTATTATAGGTGCTTTTGAAGGTGGACAGGGGTTAGCATGGGCACTCTGACTGGTCTGCGGCAACGCAGTCTCTTACACAATAGGGTGCGATGCACTATATGTTGTGACACATTCCTTTCATAACCATCATTAAAAATTTCTGTGACTTGTGATATAATAGCACAAGTCGGTAGGTACTCAGCTGCCCAGGAGCACCCCACAAGTCTTGCTGTTTCAGAGAAGTTCTGAAACAGTCGTCTGGCCGTAACCATTTGGCCCTTGTCAAACTCGCTCAGGTCTGCACGTCTGCCCATTTCTCCCACATCCAACATACAGACTACAAGAACTGACTTGTCTCTTACCGTCTATGAGACAATCAGTGTTTTTTACTTCATCTTTGAGTGGTCATCATGTTTTGGGTGTATATTTCAGTGGAAATGTGTATGATTTACAAACCCAGAAGCAAATTGGATTCTCATCTTCGTAGATGAGCAAACGAGTTCAAATTTATGAACAATTTTGTTGCAGCAGTTGTATGCGATCCTCTGATATCAAAAGAGCTGCATTCTCACTGTATATTTTATATGGCCATCTTTGTGGAGAGGTGTGAATTGTTTTCAGAGCAGAAGGTTCTCACCCCTCCCCTTTCACAACATTTCACAAACAGAGAGACAACAGTGTCCTAGTTCATCTGATATCAGAGTTACAGGGAAAAACACTATTGATAATATTCCTTTAAAATATGCAAGTTGACATCCAGTCCACCGGCAAAATGGACACTAGTGGACCTGCAGAAAGAGCCCTTAAATTGAGAAAGATATACAGTGTGTGATGTACCTATAGAGAAATCGGAACATGGGAACTGACCTAATTAGGATTATTTAAAATAGTTTTGCACTTCTGCAGATTAATAAAAAACAAATACTTATAGTAAACTTCTACTCACAATCTTTCTACTTAACCTTACCCTTTTCAATTCCCCCCCAAAAAAATCAGGTTTCATATGCATATGAGCCTTGGTCTCTTAGCATATGTAAGACAATTCCATCAGTTGTCAGTGGTGGCCACAATCCCACAAAACATGGCTCAAATGTCTGGGAATAGTTCAGTTTTGACTGTATTATATACTTCCTGGCACAATTTACGAATATCACCACCACTTTTCCTTCAAAAGGACGCTATAACTTTGTCACTCATTTTGATGAGGAAAGGATTCCAAGTAACAAAAATTCTCCTGGGTTTTATCTCTTATTTTCTTACCCAATTTTCTCCACAATTTTGTCGTTGCCAGTTCCACCTGTTAACTATCACACAACGCTACGAAGGTGGGAGAGTGAAGATTAGCACCAGCTTCCTCTGAGACATGCGAAGCATCACTGCATCTTTTCAAACTGCTAATGCAGCGTCATTGGACAGCTCAACTCTCTTTGATGACAACACTAACTGCCAATTCTGTTTTGTCAGCAAACAGGCGCCTGTGTTGGCTAGCAATGCCTGAATTATGAGTGAAGGGGGAGAGCCAACCTACCCACCAGAGATGGCAAGGAGAATTAGTTAATTAACATATGATCACTGTGATCCAATTGTGAGATCATCATCCAATCAAGACACAGCATGTTTACACTTGCTCTTTTCAAATGTCGCTTCTACATCCAAATATTGATTGGACCTCATTTCCCTAAGCAATATTTACATTCTGAAGGACAGGTAGCACATCTGATCACAGACACAAGGCTATATGTTCTCTTAGGCTTTTGACCACAGATGGCTGTGGCATCACCAGAGATCAGACGTCACCGGAGATCACACTTCCAATGACAGGGCCAATGCTTAGACTACTGCGCTACTTGTGAGTCCCTAGAACGTTCACATGTTAACCAAATTTGATTTAAGTGGGGAAATGCACAGCAAGGCAGTATAAAAATAATGGTTAATTCAGCGTTTCAAATTCATAATATCATCATTACCTGGCCAGCTTTGGCATTTTCACAAACAAACGCCTCATCCACGTTGTCGAAGGTTGGAGCGTTGTCGTTTACATCCAGCACCCTGACGTAGACTGGCACGTGACTCATCAGGCTGTCTGAAAAGAAAACATTAGTGTTATGCGAACAGCTTGAAACCCTACTATATACAAAACCCATATATAACCCAGTGAATTTCCAAAAAAGTTGGGACGCTGTGCAGAATGTAAATAAAAATAAAATTCAATGATGTGCAAATCATTTAAACCCTATATTTCATTAAAAAGACAACAAATCAAATGTTGAAACTGAGAAACTGTTTTTTATTTGAATATATGCCCATTTTGAATTTGATTCCAACAACACGCTCCAAAAAAGTTGGGACGGGGGGATGTTTACCACTGTGTTTCATCACCTCTTCTTTTACCAACACTCTGTAAGTGTTTGGGAACTGAGGAGACCAATTGCTGTAGTTTTTAAAGTGAAATGTTTTCCCCGTTTTTGCTTAACATAGGATTTCAGCTTCTCAAAAGTTCAAGGTCTCCTTTGTTGTATTTTTCATTTTATAATGTGCCAAATGTTTTCAGTGGTGACAGGTCTGGACTGCAGACAGGTCAGTTTAGCACCCAGACTCTTTTAATACGGAGCCCTGCTTCTGTAATACGTGCAGAATGTGGTTTGGCATCGTCTTGCTGAAATAAGCGAGGCCTTCCCTGAAAAAGACGTCGTCTGGATGGGGGCAAATGTTGCCAAAACATGTAGATATTGTTCAGCAATGCCATGTGCACTAATGCACTCCTACACCATCATGAATACTGGCTTTTCCACTGCGCACTGATAACAAGCCTGATGGTTTTTAGCCCGGAGGACACAGTGTCCATGATTTCCAAGAAGAATTATAAATGTTGATTCATTAAAACACAGGACACTTTTCCACTTCCCCTCAGTCCATTTTAAATGAGCTCAGGCCCAGAGAAGGTGGCAGCATTTCTGGATCCTGTTTATATATGGTTCCTTCTTTGCGTTTAAGAGTTCTAATTTGCATTTGTGGATGCAGCGACAAACTGTTTTCATAGACAGTGTTTTTCAGAAGTGTTTTTGAGTCCATGCAGTGATTTCCTCTACAGAATCATGTCTATTTTTAATGCAGTGCTGCCTGAGGGCCCAAAGATCACAGCCAGCAAATACTGGTTTTTGGCCTTGTCCCTTGCATACAGAGATTTCTCCAGATTCTCAGAATCTTTTAATGATATTATGTACCGTAGATGATGAAAAGCAAATTTCTTTGCTACTTTATGTTGAGAAATGTTATTCTTGCATTTTTGCACTATTTACCTGTGCAGTCCTTCACAGAGTGGTGAACCCCTCCTCATCTTTACTTCTGAAAGCCTCTCTGAGATGCTCCTTTTATATTCAATCATGTTACTGACCTGTTCCCATTTAACCACAACTTTACCAGCCTTTTGTTGCCCCCATCCCAACTTTTTTGGAACGTGTTGCTGGCATTAAACTCAAAATGGGCAAAAAAATAATAAAATTTCTCTGTTTCAATATTTGATATGTTGTCTTTGAATCATTTTCAATGAAATATAGGGTTTAAATGATTTGCACATCATTGCAATTTGTTTTTATTTACATTTTTCACAGCATCCCAACTTTTTTAGAAATGGGGTTGTATTTAAAACATAAATGATCCGATTACACTTTAACATCTGCACGCAGAATCACAGCGGAGCACCAAAATGCACAAGAATCTTTCAGGCAGATGCAGCTAATCAAGCAATTTCTTTTACCATACAACTTTAATGATGCTAAAAAAGAAACATTTGTAGTTCCTTTGGCAAATAAACACTCCTGTGGTTGTTATGACAAATGGGTAGTTATATACTTTAGCTGTCATAACTAATAAAAGTAAAAATAACAGTCTTGTTTAAAACGTCTAAAAATGCCAGCTGCCCTTTATGTTGTGTGGGCATTGCATGATAAATGTCCTAGCATAAACTTTAAAACCTTTCAAATGTTGAGATTTTCCTACAAACCTTTAGCTATTTTCTAATAAAAGACTGTTTGAAATGACACTTACTGTTCTCAGTAGCCTGTACGGAAATGTTGTGCCACGCTTGCTCTTCCCTGTCCAGTGGACGAGAGATGTACACTGATCCATTGTTTGGATGGATGTTGAACACATGGTCCATATCTGTGCGCCAGTCTATTAGATATCTATTAACAGAGAACAGACACTATTGAGGCCCCGCTGGACAAAAGACAACCAAAAAAAAGCAGGAAAGTACATTAGTTCAACATTTTTCACAGTTCCGATACTTATTTAGATTAACTAACAAGCAAGCTCTACAGCTCTGTCTGTTAATTAGGTTTCATTTGAAGACTCTCAGATTGCGCCATTACTCTTTCCATTACCAAACGACTCATTCGCTCCCTCAGGCTTTCAGACCTTTTTTACAGCCGGTGTTAAAAAGTGAACTGCATGTGAATACCATGCACTGATAATAATGAGCACACTTCCAGTTCCACCTGGCTTTAAAGGGCCCGTATCATGGAAAAACGTAATTTTGTTCCATTTTTTATCAAAAGTTCACTCCTTACTTAGTACTTAGGCACTTAGGCACAATGTTTAAAACAGGGCAACCTCTGTGTTTTTGCTTGAACAAATACTGTATATCATTAGAACAGGTGTAAATGTAGACAGACCTCTGGGAAAAAAATTAAATACAAGCAAAATGTAGGAAGTGTGTAGGATGCGGCCACTCATTTTGACTGTATCTCTCTTTTCCCTTCACGTTATGAAAACTAGTTTTCTCATGTTGGTCAACATGTTCCCAGAGAGGTAGACATTTTCAGACTGAAATTGCATCTATACCAAGCCAGACGTGACAACACAGATACAGCAACAAGGTCAAATAAGGCTGAAAACAGTGGAGCTGTACTGAACTCGGTGTCAGAAACAGCCAAGAGAAAAAAATCCTCCCATATGCAATGTGTTTTCCCAAGTAACAGAAATTTACCCACAAAACAATAAATAAATAAAAGTGAAAACATATTACTGTGGTACTAATAAAACACTTTCTTCACTCTAATCTTTACCTGGCAGTACATGCAGATAAAATGGTCTGTTACGTTATACACTCGGATTGAGATGTTTCTTGAACTCCATAAACTCAATTAAATTTGATAAACGCCCAATAATTGCTCCCATATGCTGGGATAAAAGACATGTATCTGTAAACAGACTCAATAAACAGTCCTACACATTAGAATATGACATATTTGCCCATAACTTCAATGAACTCTCCTATACACTAGAATATATTATTCCATAAACAATTTACATAAGTCTTATACATTAGAATATAAAATATTAGCTTATAGACCACCTGCATAAACACTCCTATATACTAGAATAAGAGATATTAGTCCATAAATTACTTAAATAAACACTCCGATACAGTAGAATAAGAGATACTAGTCCATAAATTATCTCAACAAATAAGAGATACTGGTCCATAAATTACCCCAATAAACACTCCTATACACTAGAATAAGATATACTGTTCCATAAGTTACCTCAATAAATGCTCCTATACACTAAACAACCTCAGTAAGCACTCCTACACACTAGTACAGTAGACAGTATTCCATAAACAACCTCAATAAACACTCATATCCACATCACTATATTGGTCCATAAACAACTTCAATTAACGATCCTATACACCACACATGGGGAATATTACTTCATTAACAACCTCAATTAACACAACTATTTGCTAGAATAGAAATGTTAGTCTATAAACACCCTCATTAAACACTCTTATACTCTAGAACAGGAGATACTAGTCCATGAATAACCTCAGTAACTGCTGCTATACACAACTATAGAAACATAACATGGCAATAGGACAGCAGGAGGCTACAATGACTGAGGAGTTGGAACAATTGATTGTATAAATGATATTCACTCACTGAGCACTTTATTAGCAACACTATACCAATACTGGGTAGGGCCTCCCTTTGCTCTCAAGATAGCCTCAATTTGTGTGACAAGAAATCCACAAGATGTTGGAGATATTGTTTTGAGATTCTGGTCAATGTTGACATGACATGGAACTGCATCATGCAGATTTTTTAGGTGCACTTTCATGCTGTGAATCTTCCACTCCACTTCATCCCAAAGATGTTTTACTGGATTCAGATCCTGTGAGTGGGAAGGCAACTTTGGCTTTGTGACATGCTGCATAATCATGCTGGAAGTAGCCATTCGAAGATGGGTAAGAAAGAAGTGGTCAGCAACAATTCTCAAATAGGCTGTGGCATTCAAGCAATGATCGATTGGTATTAATGGGCCCAAGTATGCCAAAAAACATTCCCCACACCATTACGCCACCTCCACCAGCCTGGACTGCTGACACAAGGCAGGTTGGGTCCATGGATTCCTGCCGTTGGTGCCAAATTCTGACCCTACCATCTGTGTGCCTGAACAGAAATTCATCAAATTCATCAAATGTCCAGTTTTGGTGAGCCTGTGCCCACTGTAGCCTCAGCTTTCTGTTCTCAGCTGACAGGACTGGAACCCTCTTCTGCTGTCGTAGCCCATCCACCTCAAGGTTTGACGTGTTGTGCATACTGAGATGCTTCTCTGTTCCCAATTGTACAGAGTTTTATTTGAGTTACCGTAACCTTTCATTCATCTCAAACCAGTCTGGCCTTTCTCTGTTGACCTCTATTATCAATAAAAGCATTTCCGTCAGAACTGCCGCTCACTGGATGCTTTTTCTTTATTGCACCATTCTGAGTAAACTCTAGAGACTGTTGTACGTGAAAATCCCAGGAGTTCAGCAGTTCTAGAAATACTTAAACCAGCCCACCTGGCACCAATTGTGCTACAGTCAAAATCACTGAGATCGCATTTTTTCCCCATTCTTACTGTTGATGTGAACATTACCTGAAGCTGCTGGCCCGTATCTGCATGGTTTCTATGCACAGCCCTACTACCACACAACTACCTGATTAGATAATTGCATGAATGAGCAGGTTTACATGTGTTTCTAATAAAGTGCTCAGTAAATATATATATACGACAAATGTAATTAATCATGATTAACTATACAAAATAATACGGTTACTTCTTTTAATCATTTGTCCCTAGATTTTCATCCATATAACCAAATAAAATCCTTAATAAAAATTACTAACTTGTACATTTTCTGTTAGCCTTTAGTTGGTCTTTAGTTAAAATGTTATTGAGAATATTTCACACAGTGCTATCGTTTGTATACAACCAAATCAACTCCTCAATTTTCAACAGTAAGGGACCAAAAGAAACCACCCTATAAAAAATAGTATTTCCTACCCTGATTAGACGTGAAAAGTCAGCAAGGCCAAGTCTTTCTCCTGAAGGTCCACCACCATGCAGAGATTATTTCCAAACCTAATATTACACCCCCACTAACACCCCTGCCATGAATACATGCACTGCATTTTAATGTAAAAATGGCCTTGGGAGTAACTAATATGAATCACGTCTACACAGTTACGTGTCAGTTTTAATTTTAAGATACTAAACTCAGCCAGGAGCACTCGCCATATGAGAAGGTTCTGTAAGGCCATTCATTAAGCACACAAGTTAAACACTCGTTTATTTTCTCTCCTGATTAATGGGCCGAAGGGCAGCTACAAGGAACAAGGAAAAAAACACCGCCTCATGGGGTAAAAGAGCATAGATCTTTGGAACTCTTTTTCTTATGAGCCCTGTCTGGTTATAAGAATTTACATAAACAGTTCACCTTTGCAAAGCAATTGAATACAATATTCCTGTACTCCAGAACAGGAGATATGACTCCATTAACAACCTCAATAAACATTCCTATAGGAAATATTAGTACATCAACAACTTCGATAAGTGTTCCAATACACTAGAATAGGAGATATTCTTTTCCAAACTCTTGTTAGAAGTGCATACTGAAACTCCTTTGTATTAAACACCTAAAAGGTTTCAGTACTGATGAGTGACATCACAAGAAGATAAAATGCGAGGCCTTTGGCATTATTCCCAAGGTAGGGCCTTTTTGAGGTGCTCTGTCAGCTCTGCAGTTTCTACAAAGGAAATGGCAAGATCAAGACAGCTTTCTATTTAATATGTTAAGTTATTGGAAGCTCACATAGAAAATGTTCATTTATTAAAAACCTTCTGAAAAGCCAGGTGTCCCCAAACTGTAAGTGTATATGATTTTTGTGCATGTCACACCATTGTTGCGACAAAACAGCCACGCCATAGCTGATTTATCTACAAAAACTGGGCACATGGATTTTCTGACTACTGGTTATTGCTCTTCAAGACAGATGATCTATTACGTTACAAGAAAGAAGCAGCAAAGTCATCAGAGCACTGCCAGTGCCTATGATTTTGAGAGATTCACTATAAAACCTGGCATGATCTTTGTTTTATACAGCAATAAAAGACAGCTTGCATAAATACACATTCATAGCTCTGGCATCGTTTCATTTCTGGGTGTACAGCATTGGCTGCTTTGTAATGAGAGAAAATGGAGATAATAATGTGGAGCTCGAGTGCAGTTTTCAGCACAATGCTATATCTTACAGGAGATGTAATTCTTTCTCTGCTGGGACTACTGATCGTGATTAAGAAGTGGATTTAACAGCACAGCAAACCAGCGCTGGAGGTTCTTAAATCCAGAATATGGGCACCCAGTATGAGGGATTTTCACTGGCTAGGGAAATGAACAGTGTGCGCAAAGTAATTAACACATCTGACAGCTCCAGCAAGATGATTCCTCTGCAGAACAATAGCATAGCAGACATTTCAACACAAGCCCACTGTGATAAAGACTAGAGCTCCCTATTCAAGTCCGTGCACAATCTCTCTAATTAAGGGTTAATTCCGGGTCAGACACGGCTAATATCAGCTATCAAGTGTTCGTGAAGAACCTGCTCTGGAATAAATGTGATTACAGGGTGACTGGCTCTCGCTGAGTCTGCAGGTGTGAGCTCAAAGATGTTCTGGATGTTAGCCACAATATAAGACTCAGTTCGGTTTAACTTAGGGCTTGACCAATATAAAAATGTTGTCACCAATACTTATTTAACGTGCTAAAAATTCAAATAACTGACAATAAATTACTGACTGATGTGATTTCAGAAAAGTATTGAAAAAATAACACACCCCTCACGTGCTTCCAAACGTTTCTCATTTACTGTCTTTTGTGGGAACCAATATCAATATCAGAACCAGGCAACTGGCTGGCTATGAGAGTAAAATGGGAGGGGAATATGAGATATATGAGATCGAGGTATGTGTTTCACTTTATTTTTCCTTCACTATTATTTATTAAGAATCTGGGTGCAAGATAACAGAAAAAAATTCACAACTAATCATTATTAAATTACTGTCATAGCGAGCAGCGAAATACAATTCAGAGGGATACTGCCTAATCTGGCAACTCTGACCAGGTTGCTAAGATTGTTTGAACATGACAGTGTTTAGTAGTGCAGGAGAAGTGAGCGAGTATGTGCTAAACTCTGCTGTGTCTGTCTCATGGTGCAGTTTTAACAGTTTTCTTTCTGCTCCGGAAGGACTTCTCATTAAACAGCATGCTGCCGTTTATTCTGGGAAATAAATGCAGTGCAGAGCAGGCTAGATAGCATTCTGAAGCAGTATGAAAAGCATCTGGACTGAACCAGGCAATTAAATCCAACATTATAGCCTCAAATTAGAGCTCTAATACAGGCAGTTAGGAATGGAGTCTCAACAGCTCTATCTCTGATTACTATTGAGACGTCACCACAGGTTTGACATGGAAAGAATATGTGACTGACATGAAAAAAGGCTAAGCATAACTTGCTTTTTTGCATGACCTGCAGGCAGATTACCTTTAGATGCGCTGCAACTGCACACTACTGGTGACTCTCTAGCATTTGGCTTCATCAACAAAATACTGATAAAAACAATGCACAGAAATATGTGCTTTCATTAAAACAGATAAAAGTACTGGTTGTTTTAGCTGCTTTTCCATTTTTTATCCTTTTCCATATTTTAATCATCAAATTTAGTGCTTTTTTTATTTGCAGAATTAGTAAATTCCACAGATTGCCATTTTTAGTGCTTATTTTGTTAGATGGCAGCTCAGCAGGCATTGAAGAAATTCTACTGGAGTATTTTTACTTATCTGAGCCAAATTGTTCTGTGTAGTATTTAACACTCTTGTAAAACATTTAAAGAGATATTGTTAGTACTTCATTGGTAGGATTTACGCTTATGCAAATAAAACTGAAACGGTAATACTGGAAGATTTTGTAATATTTTAGGATATGCTGGTCTAGCCCTAGTTTTATTTGTATGGTGAATTCTAACAGCCACTGGTGTCAGATCAAAACCTCAAAACTTTCTCCTTTTCATCAGGGCTCCAGACTGCCACTAAAATGATTAATTATTAACTTGTGAGTAATAAAATGAATTAACTCATCAGTGGCGACAAGTAGCAATTTTGGATTATTATTATTATTACGGGTAACTATCTATTACTATTGTTCTGTGTTTATTACCTTTTTTGTTTTTAGTATATATGTTTTAGCATTTTTCATTTAAAACGTACCTGATAGGCTATGGCTATCTGCCTATCAAAAAAAACAGCGTGTTAAAAATGGCGAAGTCAAAAATATCACATTTTTTAACACAATCTACATCTCCGTCAGACCGTAAGAGGTCAACTGCTCAACCTCAGCCTGACTCAGGACCAGTGAACCAGTGAAAGACTCACATGAAGATGTACTTGAACAGCTGTCCACTTCAAGCATTTCAAACAAAAGTACGACAGAAAGATTTCAAAACTTCTTGGCTTCATGAATTTGCATGACTCAGATATGGTAACATAAAGCAGACTATACTGCGAATTCTGTTCGAAAGCAAGACAAGATGTAGCTGGAACAATGAATTTCTTAACAGGAACGAATCATTTCAATAAAGAGGCGGTGAAAAAACATGTCGAGAATCAAACGCTTATAAATGCATGTGATTTAATTGCAAAAAGTGCTCCTAAGAAAACTCCCCTAGCCCACGCAGTTTCTCGTGCATGGGAAAAAAACAGCCAAGAAAGAATTTAAAGAGCTTAAAATTAAATTCAACACAGCCTACATGATAGCACGTAAAGATCTACCCTTCACCAAATTCACCTCCCAAATCTTGTTAATGAAAAACAGCGGACTGGATGTGTCGAAGACGTCTGATAATACATATGACAAGAATCAGGCACACTCGAAGGCAGAGATACTTAAATTACAGAACTGACCTGAGGTGCGTTGAAAAGCTGTATTTTGCATAATATTATTTGGCACTTAAAAATGCTATTGGCGCCTGATTTTTTTCTTTTAGGAGCCAGTGGCTCCTTCAGCTATTTTTTGTCTGGAGCCCTGTTCATTTTGCACACCATTTGCAATGGCAGTCGCCTTTTACATGAACATTCCATGACGAAAGGACCACTACAAATATCACTACATTAACGTATAATAAAGTGCCACAAGCCATTTTTTTCTTCTTCTATAAAATGACCAGTTCTGAAATATGAGGTTTTGATAATTCGATAACAGAGCAACAGTGAAAACTGAGATGCTTGATGGTTAACAACTGGCAACCATATCAGTCAGTAAAACACTGTTTAAATAAAACCAATGTCTGTTTTAAATTTATATGGTTTTTGAGCACAGAAAATTACAGATGACCATATTATCAGTTATTAAAATTTTTACGTCCATAAAAGCTTAAGAATGTGAATCTGGACGTACTTGACAATGTTTCGGCTAGCGTCAGGGTCCACAGCGCTGACAGATCCGATGATGGTTCCAATCTCAGCGTCCTCTTTGACCTCCATGATGTAGGCAGGTCGTTTGAAGACAGGCGGCTCGTCTACGTCCTCCACCAAAACCTTCACCGTGGCTGTGTCTCTGAAGGACTCGCGTGAGTGAAAGCGTGGATCCAGATAAACGTTCTCCACCTGAACCCTCAAAGTGTATGTTTTCCTTTTCTCGTAGTCCAGAGGCTGGAGAAAAGAGAAAAGGCAACAGTTTGCACTTCATATTTATGAAATACTCTACTTCATACTGACAGGAACTGCTGAATCCATGTCACAAGCTCTGAGTTAAACACTGTAAGCTGTCTTGCTGTTAAAGTAAACTCAAGTCCTTATTGATCATATGCATCATGTATCAAGGACATCCGTACAGTAAAATGAAGAGTTATAGTAAGCTTGTACATACAGGTATTTGACTGGAAAAAAACTGCAAGACCAGCAAATTAAAATCTTGCCAGACGCAATGTCTGGTAAAAACATTCACTCAAAGCAATCTAACATTTGTGTTTGTATATCTGGCGACACTCATTGATTTCAGTATGGTAGTCTAGGCAATAAAAGGTACAACTGGCTGACCTTTGTCAGAGTGATGACTCCCTCCTGAGTGATGCCTTTGGTGGAGATTTGGAACATATCCTGGTCATCCATGATGGTGTACTCCATCTCTGCGTTTTTGCCCGTGTCCGCATCTGTAGCTTTCAGTGTGCCGACTGCCCTGCCCGGCTCTAATGACTCAGGAACGGTGAACTGATAAACACCTGCAGCACATTGTCAGCAGAGAACAGCTAATGAAAACATCCTTCCTTTTCACTGAATTTATTTTAGTTGTGTTCAGTGACAGAGAATCACTAATTTTTTTCCCTTTTCAGGAAAGCTGCTCAGGCATCGTCAAATTAGCACCACAGCGCCTCTAGGAGTTTAGCAGGGGTGTAATAATACATCTGTTTTCAGGTTTGGTACTATTTTTGATTTCGAGTTCAAGAATCAATATGATTTTTAATATTTTGTGTTAAAAATGTCTTGATTCTACAAAGCTCTAATTATATATATACACATATTGGATTGGCACAGACGAGGAGTCGGCAACCCAAACGTTATGAAGAGCCATTTTGTCCTTTCAACAAAAAACAATCCTCCTTGGGACCTAAAAAATGTTATGTCCATTTTATTGAAGTAACGTTTTACCATCTTGCCTCTAAATATGTCTCAGTATGTATTAATGTCCTAGTATAAAGCTAAAAAATATAATATAAATGAAAACGCAGACTTACTTTGCTCTGCTTCAAGCTTTAGCTCAGCTATAGCTGCTTTTCTTGCATTTCCAGCAGGATACTGTTCCGCAAATGTAGAACAGTTTCTCATAAAACGTCTTTAAACGTTCAAGTTTTTACGAAACTGAAGTCAGCTTCTCATTCGCCAGCTTCTTATTCGAATTTTCCCATTCCACCTTAAATCTCAAAATGTAACTGCTGCACCATTTAAGGTGGAATGTGACAATTCGAACAAGGAGCTGGCAAACGGGAAGCTGACTTCAGCTTTGCGACTTTTTAGTGTTTGACAGCGTTTTCTCGCTGTAGATTAAATGTAAAAATCCATTACTCTCTGAATTATCAGTATTCATCTTAAATCTTTCTCTTCGCCTTTTCGTTAGCTACTAACTAGGCGAGACTGTTATCTGCGTTGTTATGGTGACCAACAGTCTGCGTGCAAATCTTCAGGGTTAAAGGGTGAATTAGCAGTTACACATTAACTCCAGTGTTCAAGACCATTTATTGTTAAAACTGTGTTGAACGATCAGCAGAGCTTTATTTTACTGCAAAAAAGGATTATTTTATTTTTACTTAAAAATCTTCTGCTTTGGAGCCGCAACAGGGCAGCAAAAAAGCCACATGGAGCTCCGCAGCTGCATGCTGCCGACCCCTGACATAGATAAATAAAAGCTCTGCTGAGCCACCCTCTGATAAAATAAGCTCAAAAACGGCAAGTAACTTCAAAAAGCAGTCATTTGATCATGGGTGCATTTACAGCACACGCCTTATTCCCTCCCTGCCAACTTTACTGTGATAGGATGCACCCAGTTTTGATTACTGACAGTAGTTTCATTGAAACACTTCTCATTTTTCACTACTGTATTACTGAAATCGCTACAGATAACCAGAAAAACCTGCAGATTGTATGTTTCAGTAGAGGCATACAAAAGCCTTAGTTGCCTCAGTACTAAAGAACTGCACTGCTATTTACAGTGACCCCTGGATTGAGAATTTTTGTTAGTGTGACAGTAGAATAGTTAATTCTGAAAAACAATCAATAGCTTTTCACCGAGACAGCTATTTTAATCAAGAGAATCATAGCATGAAAATGAAACCCTTCATTTCTTCACACGCTCAATAGGTGTTTAATCAACACATGTAAGTTCAAGTTGTGCTCAAATTAGCAACAAAAGGTTTTTCTGCAGCCCACTGCCTTGGGTAGAATACAAATAATACAACAATGTTATTTGTTTTCAGGTCTGAGTTTTCGTTTGGACATCATAATTGAAGGGTGGGAGATGTGGCAAACAATAAGTGACACCGCAAGACACTTTCATAATACACAATACAGAGGCTTGCAAAAAGCCCTTTAAAAAATTAGATTTGTCTGGATTACAAATGACACTTTAATATTTTGCGCTGTCTTGTCTTATATTTAATTGACTTACCCTCAATATTAATTTATTTGAAGTAACATTGGTTTTATGTAAGAAAATATTTTGTGAGGAAAAATTACTAACTAAAAAATGCTGTTTGCATCAGTATTCAACCTCTGTGCTGTGGAAGCTCCAAGTTTACACAGATGAAAGATACTGACCTAACGAGGACACAACTGCCGTACAACTGGCCACCTGTGAATCATTAAAAAAGTTCACCTTTACTGGATAAAAGACCCCCTTAATTCAAGTCCCATTGGTCAAACTGTGAATCTGAGAAAAAGCTGTGAAAATGAAGAACAAAGAGCACTTTAGAAATTAGAGATAAGGTTATAGGCATGCAAAAGATAGGAAAAGGCTACAAAATAATATCCAAGTGTTTGGATATCCCAGTGAGCATTGTTGGATCAACTGTGAGGAAATTGGAAGGAAGCTGCAGCATATCACCCAGGCACTGCCCAGTACCTCAAAACTCAGCGTCAGAGCAAGAAGAGGACTTGTGAGGGAGGCCACAGAGAGGCCAACAATCAGTTTGAAGGAGCTACAGAGTTCAGTGGCTGTGATTCGAATGAAGGTGCACCAGTAAACAACATCAAGAGCTCTGCATACAACTGGCCTGTATGGAAGGGTGGTTAGAAAGAAGCCATTACTGAGGACAAAGCACATTTGGAATTTGCCAGAAAGCATCAGAGTGACCCAACTAAAATGTGGTTAGATGAGACTAAAATGGAGCCTTTGACACAAATTTAAAATGCTATATGTGTGACCAACCTAACAATGGCCATTCCTCAACAAACACCATCCCAGCAGTGAAGTATGGGGCAGCATCATGTTGTGGGGATACTTTTCCTCAGCAGGGACTGGGCATCTTGTAAAACTGAAGAAAAGATGCAAAATACAGAAAAATACTGCAAGGCAACCTGCTTTAGCCTGCTAAAAATCCAAAGCTTGGTGAAATTTCACCTTTCAGCAGGACAATGATCCAAAGACAATGGCCAAGTCAAAGTCCAGATCTCAGTCCAATAGAGAATCTGTTTGAAAATTAAAGTCCACAAGAGTCATGCAACCAACTTGAACAAGCACATCTGCCAGAAAGAATAGGCGAAAATCAATCCCGAACAGTGGGTAAAGCTAGGAGAAACTTATCCTAACAGACTTAAAACTGTATTTGCAGCCAAAGGTGGTTCTACTGAGAGGTACTAGTCTGGAGGTTTTGAATTCTTATGCAAACGGTATTTTTCATTTTTTTTTTATCTCCCGACAAATAATAAATTATGACTTTGAAAACGTACCTGTCTTTGAAAAGGTAGGAGCATATTAGTTTGCAACAAAAACACTGGCTGGAACAATCTGTGATAGTGTCACTTGTAATCAAGACAACTGATGACTTTTAAGGGGGATGAAAACTTCTGCAAGGCACTGTATGTGTAATAACGGTTAGTTTTGTCTGAGGTTTGCAAACAAGCTAGAATGGATAAAACACAGTAGAAAACAGTAGTGTCACATTAAAAAATGGCTATGAAAAATAATTTTTTTAACATTTGGAAAAGCAGAATAAGGAGGAACAATTGGTCATAATAAATGAATAAAATAAGATGATAACAGAATTGAAATGGCAGCAGTAACCAGCTACACTGGTTGTCCTCTAAAATTAGTCTAAACCTGTCTTTTTATGATGGATGCAGTTGTTCAGTATTCTAGGAGTACTGATCATAACCATGATATACCCAGAAAAGAAGAGCATTGTGATGTAATTTATCACAATTACTATAACACACAGTCTTTTTGCCCACTTCTATAATAAACTACTATTTCTAAAGTCATTTTGGTAGCAGTTTGCTTTGTGGTACAGGTAATACTCAGTGTTTACCAGGCAAGCACGTAGATATTAAAAGCCATATTTAATAAATATGGTAAATAGCATGCCAATTGCCTGGAATTGCAGGCAAATTAAAATGAATGACACTGGAACAGCAGTAGTAAGTAGTTTAAAAGAATGTGATGTCGTGCTGAATATGCATTAAAGCAGCATCAGCATGTACTGCCTCGTAGCCAATATATGCACACAAGCTGCATCATCAGAACAGAGTGGGGTCATGGTGTCCATGCAACTGCGGTGTGTCTCACCCTGAGGGAAGCGCGGTGGATTATTGTTGATGTCCAGCAGAGTGATGTTAACTGTGGTGGTCCCTGAGAGGCCCCCCATCTGTCCTGCCATGTCCTTGGCCTGAATCACCACCTGATAGTGTTCACGGACCTCGCGGTTCATATTGGGCAGGGCTGTCCGGATGATGCCTGAGTGAAAACAAAGGCTATGATCATTCAAAGCATATATATATATATATATATATATATATATACAAAATTTAGTGTCGTACTACTGTAATGTGTAATTTCAGTGATCACAACTGATATAACACATGCACATTGCTGTGATGACAAGTCATTTCATGTAAGCACAATTTTTTTTATCTACCTCAGACTCACTAACTGCACATACAGAAATGTGTACAACAGTACATATAGTTATATTTCATTCAATAAGTTTTATTTCATAACTTATTACTGTACAACTGTACATTGGAAATGCAGTGCAATAGTAGTGTATATGTGTATATATTTTGGTGTTCATATATTTCTTTTATATATATATACATATTTTTTGTATATAAATTCTACAAGGGGCTACGCACCTAAGATTTTCACTCACCTTTCACGTGATGTGACACATAAAATATAAGAAACGTGTTTCATAAGATCGAAAGTACATATAAATTTATAACCCCAAAAACATTCAGTGATGGTGAATTCTGGACTTTGGGGTGGACAGTCCATTGTTCTGAGAACACCAGCAGCTTCTATGTTTGATTTGCAAATTTTCTTTTCTTTTTAAACAAAAACGCTTGTGTATTTTTGCAGATCTGTGTTTGATTTTCTCTTTTCTCTCAAAAATGAAAGCTTCAAGTGCTGTTTATCTAATGGGGACAGTTTTGGTGGTCTACTGCACACACACACATACACACACACACACCCGCACACAGATTATCATCCCACATCCAAGGTAAACTGTGGGACAGGGCTCATCTGAAAGAAAGCATAATAGCAATAAGCTGCCCCGGTAATCTGCTAATGCCTTTTTATGTTTCATTTCTCTTCTTTAAGCACATATAGCAGATTTGCTTCAAAAGTGCAATTTACCCACTATTACATTTACATTTGCTTGTGCGCTGTCCTTAATCTCCATCAGTTCTTTCCATGGGTGGGGAAGAGCAGTAAAACAGAGCAAGGGATAGAGCAGTGTGTGTGCAATGTGCTAGACAGAAAGAGAGAACAGAATTGTGTATAGTGAAGCGTTCTTAAACCGACCTGTCTCTGGTTCTACAGAGAAGTATGGCTGTCCCTGCAGAATGCTGTACACCACTTTAGCGCTGTTACCGTACGTAGCATCATCAGCATCTGTGGCCGTCACCTGCACGACAAATGTACCTGAACAAAAGAGAGAGAGAAAAAATTCCATCTAATCAAATGTCTTACTATTAGGGATGTACTGATCTGATACGAAAGATGGGTATCAGAGGTAATAAAAATGTATTGATCAATTAATATCATCTGTATTAAACTCAATCCATCTCTAATCCTTGATTTAGGCTGTTACCCCATCGTGTTCTACTTACACCTCTGACACAGAAGGGGCACTGACATGAGCATACATCTCGTAAAACAGATCTAAAACAGTTCAAAGCCACATTCGAATACTTAATATAGACACAAATGACGGTTAAACTCTGTATTAATGTGACAATAATTAAAAACCATTGTGCTGTTCATAGAACAGTCTTTGGCCATAGGTTGCTTGCTAGCCATAGCCTACTGTTAATAAGCTACATAGCTTGACAAAAGTAATGTTTCTTGTGATTATTACTGATAATAAATGAATTATTGAACATAGATATATTTTATCATATTGTATTTTGTTGCAGCTTTATAAAGGCCTAACAACACCCCATAACCACTCCTTGTACAGTTATTATAGTCTCGCAAGCCAGACCTCTGTCTATCGTCCTGTCTAACAGGGAAGGCTGTTTGACTGATGCACAAAATAACCAATCATAATCTGCTGTTCCTGTGTGACCAACCTAGTGTTTAAACTCTCTGTCTTCATGTGACACTGTAACACACTGCCTCTCAACATGTGTACAACCACATAAGCAAGTCTCTTTAAGACTATTTAACAACTTGTCAGAGTCTGAGACAAGTGTGTGATGCTTTAGGCATGCAGTTTTCACAGTGTTAATTGCTGGGGTATAAGCTTCCTTTACATCAGCTCTGCAGCTTCAGTGCCATCTCCAGTGCAGGTTTATAAAAGCTCTAATTAACTGAAAGCTAATACAGAGGTGGTACAGTAAGAAACCTTTTTTTAAGTAGAAAATGAAAATGTGTAATATCTGCAATGCCAGTGCAGTTAAGCTAGTTGAGCCTTTATGTAAAACAGTTAAACTAGCAACATATAAAGTTGTGTGAGCAGCTATTACAAACGTATTGGTAACAGTGAGTTAAAAAGCTGAGAAAAAGGAGCTACTTTGCGCATGTTAGAGGAACCAGAAGTATGAAAACAGGATATTCAAGACAAAATGATCATTTAAAAACCAAAAACACAAAATATTGTAATTGCACATCTTAGCTACACTGCACTGATTTAAGTATGTTTAATGTAGGTGAATGTACACTGTGTGGCTGTATCATCTATGAAAATACTAAAATTTGATCAGACTCAGTATCACGGGGTTATTCAGTATTTCAGTAAGTACAGGAGACAAAGGATGATGGTATCACTCAGTGGTTGTTTCTGCAACAATTTTTAAATTTTTATATGGACCATTCTACAAAGTTACTGAATTCTACCAAATATTGTGGTCCCACAATAAAAAGAAATTTAGAACAAAACAATGATGTTAGATATTAACAATGACTGTTATGATCTATTTAAACCCAAGGCACTGAGACAGTAATATATGCAAAATCATTATTTATAGGGACTTTTCTCTTGGGAGGTGTCTGTCATAAACCCTTAACCTTTCAACCTGTGAAAATCATTCTTTAACTTTTTGTGTATTTTCAATGTTGTTTTTTAAAAAGATCTTTTGGGTTTCTTTAAAATTAAGTTGTAAGATTTAGATTTATCACAAGTTTCATTTTAAATAATAAAACTTAAAAAATGCTGTCCCACGTTTTCATGTCACTAATTGAGTTGTGGTCCATGGGCGGAGTCTTATTTTAGCCACACTGCAATTTAGAGCAGGAAGTGAGGCTGCATCCCCGTTCCTCATGGCCACATGGTGAGCAGTTAGATTCCATTGTTTTGAATTAAATGTGTCCGAATGTCTGAAAATCAGTGTGTAACTTTAAGAACTATCACTACTGAGACACATATTTTCTACAATTAAGTTTTTGTGTTATAATGAAAAATATTTTGAATTTATGTGTGTACACCTGTTAAAAAAGTTTGCTAGTCATGTACTAGCTAGTGTTTCTGAGTTATGAAGTAGCTAAAATGATCACTACCAAAACAGTCACTACAGAAACCTTTGGTAAAGTTTCAGTCAGGTTATGACTGTTTTAGTAGTGATATAATAGAAAGTTCAATCGTTTATTTCAACAAAATATATATAACTAAGGTACAGAGTCAATGCAAAAAGATTTCAGTCTAGTGTCAAAGTCAGTTAAAAGTCCAAAATGTGTTTTAAACTCTGACTTGGAACCAATTCGGTAGAATAAATTATGTAAGATACCCTTAGTTGTCTGTTACAAATAACAGTAGTGTAGAAAGTTTGTGTCAGATGCAAATAGTATTACAATGTGCTCAAGTACAGGGGTTGGTTGTAACTGTAGGTGGATTATAAAATTATTTACTGAGGTACAAGTAAATTTTTCACTGTTTGTTACCTTATATGAATGGGTTCCTGTAAGGAATGTAAGAGGGCCTGTTGTTCTTTGCTCAGTCTCCCAACATTATGTAATGGGTTATAACCAAGCCTGCCCAGGTCGGTCAAGAGATACATACAAGCTAGATATTTTTAGCATGTATGTTTGAAACTAGCATTCATTTTACACGTCAAATAAAACTAGAGAAACTGGGGGATGTGTGAGCACAGTAGTGACATCAACTCTGTAGCCCGTTTTCGATTTGCTTGCTTTAGGATTGGGTGAAAACACCGGATGCCCTTATTTATTATAAATTCTTGAGTCATATGCCAATGCAAATCAAACACCAGCTTTTGTTTTATGATACAATACCATTTCATTGTCTGATTTCTCCAGAATGTTTGTGTGTCCTAAGCCATTCTGTTTCACATACAATACAAATATACTGCAGACCATACACACAACAAACATCAAGAGGTACAACTGTTTGTTCCCCCTACAAATACAAAAGCAAATAGACTTGCACATATTCTCATCATACCATACGACCAAAAATAACACTGGATAGCTCTCTTCACCCCCCAAATGGCCTAATCACAATAATATTATCTGTCTCCTTTTTGCTGCTTTGCATGCACAGCACACATGGACTGAAATGATGAACTCCTTCACACAGCTGAACACGAGCAAGCGTTCCCCAAAAGCCCTTTAAAAGTGCTACGCTTGCAGAGTGATCACTGCTACATCATCCACTCTGAGTCATACGCCAGCTGCAGTAAGAGAGCAGGTCAAACTCACTCTGTCCTTACACGGTACATCCGCCCACACATTACAACATACATCAAAAACTGCAAATATAAAATCCATTCAGTACTACAATAGACATTTGCTACATAAACAAATGGAACAAACAAATTCAGTTTTGTCACTAAAGGGGTTTCAGTATTACTCTACTGTATTTACTAATGACTATTTCCATAATCGATTAAATCAGTCTATTATGACTTGGATTAACTGGCTGATGTTGAAATGAAAAATACAGTTATAAGGACTCATCCACACATATCCAGATATTTCTTTAACGCCTTTTCAACAGTAGCTATAAAATGCAAATTACACTTGTTCGTCTTTATAAGTGAACATGCAAGTCAACATTTGAAAGAAATATATTTTTTAATTGTGCTATTTGAACATGATTTTTGCTGCAGTGGTACAGACTTAATTGCTCACTAGCAGCTCAAGAAAACAGTCACAGTCGCAACATATCACACACAGGCAGCCAACAATGTCCTAGTTAATCTGATAACGGAGTTATAGACAGAAAGAGTTTATTTAATTTTTTTTAATAATATTTTCAAAACGTTAGATTTCTTGATAGAGTCGGAATGGCCACTAGGGGGCTTGCAGAAAGAGGTTAAAAAAGGTAGTTTTTTTCCTTCATTTTCAAAAAGATCTCTGTCCACACCAACAGCGTTTTTCAGAAATCGCACTCTCCACATGACTCACACGCCATGATATCTCTGATACCTCATAATACCTCAAGAAGAATGTTTTGAGCATGTGTACTGTGCAAAATATCGAGGGCACCGAGCAGAGATGTTCATGACAGCATCATGTTAAAAACACAGTCGGCATTGACTCGCAGGCTGTCAGAGCTCCATCATTCAATCACACAAAGTCTGATTTCTGCCAGAAAAGAAAGCCTACTGCCTGCTGCCGTGTGGCTGTTTCCGTGGCTACACCACTGCCTCTGAAACATCCACACAGTCCTGATCAGGCAGAGAAGCTGAGTGTTGCTAGCTTTTCACTCCACTTAATTGCGGAGGATTTTTTTTTATAATTATTTGAATTTCAATCATGATCATTAGGTTACATGTCTTTAGAATCACTGACACTCTTTAAAAAATTGTAGTCAAGTTTAAGAACTGAGCTCAGTGCATTCTGATGCCTCTGCACTACAGTTTAATGATAAACTAAATTCAGTTAAAAATGTTATCACCCCCCAAACTGCCAAGCACACAGAAACAACACAGTCATCAGTCATATTTCAGACAGTGAGGCAGCCTCAATGACTAAAACACAGCAAGAGGCATGAGCAAGTTAAAGCCCTGTCTACTCATTTTCATGATTTTCTTATAACCAGTATCTATAGTTTTTGTAATGTTTATACTATGACCTGGCAGAGGAAGAATGTTGTTGGTCTTTTCTATTGAGAGTTTTTTTAGTTACTTTTTTTCTGCCATTTTCTTTAGTTTTATTTGAACTGGTGAAAAGCATTTTACACACACACACACACACACACACACACACACACACACACACACACACACATATATATAAATTCTGAGACCAAATTGAAATTCTGGGATTTTTGTCATTTAAACTTGGAAAACAACAGACTTTTTTAGAATTGTGAAAACAAATAACATGAAAGGATTCTGCATATATATATATATATATATATATATATATATACTATATATATATATATATATATATGCAGAATCCTTCCATGTTATTTGTTTTCACAATATATATATATATATATATATATATATATATAT